CCCCAAAACCCCAAAACCCCAAAACCCCGTTAAGTCGATTTTGCGATTTTAAGCGATAAACAAAAGTAAAATAAACCAATCTAACTAAAATTAGTTATCCATTCCGCAATAAGATCTTTCATTTCTTGCCTTTTCCTTTAGCACCAGCACTCTTAGCTGGAGCTTTTTTCTTCTTTTTAGGTTCATCATCACTGTCGTCAATAAAATCACTCTCATACTCCATGCTTTCATCCTAACCTTTTTTACCCTTTTTGGCTGCAGTTGTTTTTGGCTTAGCAGGAGCTTTCTTTCCAGTTCCAGCTTTGCCTTTCTTTCCTCCCTTCTCGTTTCCTTTATCAATCTTAATCATCTCAAATTTCTCCACTTTTTCCTTTTTATTCTTCTTTTCCATCTCTTTTTCAATCTATTTTCCTTTTTTAATTTCTAAAAGACCCTCTTCATCAATCAAAGCATCATTCATATCCTCCTCGTCGTCTTCAATATCTTCAGCACCTTCTTCAACATTAGTAGATAGGGATTTGTTGTCTGCTGTTGAAGTTCCTCCAGCTTTCCCGCCCTTAGTTTTAACTTTTTTACCTTTTAAGTCATCTTTATTTTCTTTATTGAACTCTCTTGTGAATGCGCTTTTAGTGGTTGGAGCAATTTTTTCGAAATCCTCAACAATAGATTTGTTCATGCAAAGTAGCATTAAGTGTTCTTTGAATAGATCTATGTTAAGACCTAGATCTTTCATGAAATCCAAAAGAATTTAGATATTTTCGCCATCTCCAGTTTTTTCGTGTTTTTTAAGGAACTTTAGAATATAAGCTAGAATTAGCTACGTATATTCATTTTAGATTTCCATTCTTGAAGCTTAAGCATGATGAGTCATAGCCTTTTTAAGTTCTCTAATGAGTCTCTTTGCCTTTCTCTGGGAAGAGTTTTTGCCAAGCCATTCAGGAAACCTTGGTCTGAACGCTGATCCTTTGACTAGTAAACAAGGCGCAATTGCTGAGCAAAGACCCATATTTGGGAGCAAGGACCAATCTTAGTTAGTTCTTACCTATCTTGAAATAGAATCACCTAGTGATATGAATTCTGCAGCATCAGCCATCTTTTCAATATCCTCTAGCTTGTTTCTATCGCCCATAGTGTAAAGATAATTCTCTTGAACTAGCAATGGTATTAGATCATAATCAATGAAGAACAGGTCCATCTTTTGTCTGAACTAAGGGTATTTAATATCCATATTCTGTGCACCGTGATTGAGCAGTCTGTGTGCCGCATCGAAATTATTGATCATGACACTCTCATCTTTGCTGATATTCTTTAGAAAACTAGTGTCCATCTACTGATTCTTCCACATTTAAAGGATGTTGATGATCTATCTTATATCATAGCCTGAGCTCTCAATGATTTTAAGCATAGTCTCTTTGTCAAGTTGAAGACCCTCCTGTTAGCATATGAACTTGACTCTCTCTGCGACATCATTGACATGTGGTCTTTGAAATTTCAAATCATAACAATTGTTAACCAATGTCTAAAGCTTTCTGTTGTCTCTATCATTGCAAATACAGATGATTGGAGTCTTGGTAAGTTTAATTACTTGCATCAGAGCCTAAAGCCCCCCTCTATCTCCAGCACCGACTCCATCTACTTCATCCATAATAATAACAGATTTCTTTGTTTACTAGCCTGATGAGAACTTATCATCCTCCTGATGCTTCTTCAAGCCAGCTACACTGAAATAATCCAAAGACTGATTTGATGAGAGAACTTAAAGCATATTGTTGATTGCATTTTTGTTTCTAGTGTCACTTGCATTAGTTTCAAGTACTTCAAACCCGAGCTACTTGCAAATAATTCTTGCAGAACTAGTTTTGCCAATACCAGGAGGTCCACTTAGAAGTGCTGCTTTAGCATTAACTCTTGGTAGGTTTTCGAAACTAACACCTCTTCTGAAAGGAATTTACTTTTTATTACCTCTAACATGAACATCATCCCAGTCCCTAAGCCATACCTCTAAATCATTTATAATCCCTCTGTTACCAACTAAATCACTTGTTAATCTAGGTGCATATAAATCAGTCCACATTTCGTTTCCCATCGACCCTGCTAAGTTCTCGCCATCATGTTATGATACCATACTTTACCTTTTCTCCTTCAAAGCCTACTCAAGTCCAGCTGTTGCTGAAGAGTTAGCCATAAGTGTTGCTCTTTACTCGCCGAGAGCATAAGATTAATCTCCAGATTTCTCTCTTATTAGGCTTTCGAACTCTAATTCAGTAATGATAGGTATCTTTTTATTCTTAGCTGCAGCATACTTGGACCCTTACTCAGGAGTTCTGCCATCCTCAAGCTTATAGCCAATAATCAAATAGCTAGTCTTACCAGAAACTGCTTAAGTGACTCTACCGCCTTTCTCAACAACTGTCGACTCTAGCTTTTAACGGGAAATATTCTAGAACTCACCGCTAATCACAAATGTCAGTCCCTCCAAAGGTTTATCTTAAATTGCATCTTTCAAGTCATCTAAATCTATTTCCATGTCCATATCTTCATCTTACTTCTTTTAGTTTTGATGTGGCTATGAAGACTTTAAGTTATTAATGGGGGTCTTGTTGCCCTAAGACTTTTAAGAAATTGATTAGGGCATTTGTCTTCCAACTGATTTTCTTTCATTCTAAGAAGATTAATGCTTATCGTCAATCTTGAGCTTTTCAAGTTAAGGAGTAACTCCTGTTTCTTTTTTGGCTTAGCCCTTTTTATAAGACATTTCTTCAAGATACTTGTCAATCTAACTCTTTTGTTCTTACTTAATTGGTGTTTTTTATTGAGACTTAGCATCATTCTATTTATATTCCTCTTCATCATCAATAACTTTTTATCTCTTATTAGTTAAATGCTTTCCTTAATTTTCTTCCTCATCATCATCTAGTACTCTTTTCTTGGCAAGTCGAGATTTTCTTTACTGCTCTGTTTCCTCATCAGAATCGTCTACAACTACTCTACCTCTGACACCTCTCCTAGAAGTCATGATTTCTTCTTCTTTGTCAGGGTTTTCCTTATCACTATCTTCATTGAGCACCTTACTAACTCCTCTCGATCTATTATTTTATGAAGCATTTCTAGAATTTGATTTCTTCTCTTCTTCTCTATTCTAAGTATTGCGATTATTCTGATATGAGATTTGACTCTGCATCTAAGATTATCTTCCATTATTGCTTGCAAGGTTGATTGGGACTTGACTATGATTGTTGCTTCTGGTGTTTCGTTAATTCTATAGAGTGTTATTTTTATCAAGCTAATCATCTTCGTCTTTCATCTCTACATCTTGTTGATGCTTGGCAGGAGATTTTTAAGGTGAGTTTTTTCTAGGAGATGATCTCACAGGAATTTACTAAGATGACTATACTTAAGATTATTTTTAAGGAGTTTGATCTCTCATTTTTACTGAGAGCTGCGACATCTGTTGAGCCTAGCTTTAAGATTACTTTTATGGCGTTTTTTAAATAATTGATTTTTGTGAGGATTTTATTTCTAAAGTTCCTCTTTCATCTTAAGGTTCCATCTATTCATCAAGTTATTTTTTGGTAACATTTTTGGTTGACTTTTTATTTGACTTTTCAAGATCACCGCCATTTCCATTAGTACCTTTAATTTTAGACTTTTCTCTCTTTTATGAACGATCAAATCTTGAATCAGCATCCCTTGATTTTGTTTAAGTTTTACTCTGGGAAGGTGTTTGCTGCACAACAATTTTACCTTTAGAATCTGAAGTTTTTTATCCTGCTACTTGGAAAAAATCGCGGATATTTGCTTTACTTGAACTCATGATTGAATTATTAAATTTTATGATAATTTATGCCAACAACTATTTATCTTCAATGTTTGATAAGCGGGGTTTTGGGGTTTTGGGG